ATGCATATAAAATACAATAATGAAAGGAGATATAACGAACAGTTATCAAACGTAAGAGCTGAAACAATAGAAACGACAACATGGATTGCCCAATATAGGATTATGTGCTATGAAGGAGTAAGCATTGCTGTCTACTGTCACATCCGCCATCTTCACCTTGTCATGATCGGACTACACATTTTTAGCTCACCTGAGCAAAAGGCTCAAGTGAGCTTTTCTGATCACATTTTGTCCGGCGTCCGTCTGTCCGTCCGTCCGTCCGTCCGTCCGTCTGTCTGTCTAGCTGTCTGTCTGTCTGTCTGTCTGTCTGTAAACTTTTCACATTTTCGACTTCTTCTCAAGAACCACTGGGCCAATTTCAACCAAACTTGCCACAAAGCATCCTTGGGTGAAGGGGATTCAAGTTTGTTCAAATGAAGGGCCACGCCCTCATTCAAGGGGAGATAATTGGGAATTAATGAAAATTTGGTGGCATGTTTTAAAAATCTTCTTCTCAAGAACCACTGTGCCAGGAAAGATGAAACTTATGGAGTAACATCCTCATCAGGTAGTGTAGACTCAAGTTTGTTCAAATCATGACCCCCGGGGATAGGGCGGGGCCAAAATGACCGACCAAAGTTTTACATAGAAATTAATGGGAAAATTCTTTCAAAATTTTCTTCTCAAGAATGACAGAGCCATAATTCATCAAATTTATATGGAAGCATCCTTAGGTAGTGAAGATTCAAGTTTGTTCAAATCATGACCCCCGGGGGTAGGGCGGGGCCAAAATGGCCGACCAAAGTTTTACATAAAAATATATAGGAAAATTCTTTAAAAATCTTCTTCTCAAGAATGACAGAGCCATAATTCATCAAATTTATATGGAAGCATCCTCAGGTAGTGAAGATTCAAGTTTGTTCAAATCATGACCCCCAGGGGTAGGGCGGGGCCAAAATGGCCGACCAAAGTTTTACATAGAAATATATAGGAAAATTCTTTAAAAATCTTCTTCTCAAGAATGACAAAGCCATAATTCATCACATTTATATGGAAGTATCCTCAGGTAGTGAAGATTCAAGTTTGTTCAAATCATGACCCCCGGGGGTGGGGCGGGGCCAAAATGGCCGACCAAAGTTTTACATAAAAATATATAGGAAAATTCTTTAAAAATCTTCTTCTCAAGAATGACAGAGCCATAATTCATCAAATTTATATGGAAGCATCCTCAGGTAGTGAAGATTCAAGTTTGTTCAAATCATGACCCCCGGGGGTAGGGCGGGGCCAAAATGGCCGACCAAAGTTTTACATAGAAATTAATGGGAAAATTCTTTAAAAATCTTCTTCTCAAGAATGACAAAGCCATAATTCATCAAATTTATATGGAAGTATCCTCAGGTAGTGAAGATTCAAGTTTGTTCAAATCATGACCCCCGGGGGTGGGGCGGGGCCAAAATGGCCGACCAAAGTTTTACATAGAAATTAATGGGAAAATTCTTTAAAAATCTTCTTCTCAAGAATGACAAAGCCATTATTCATCATATTTATATGGAAGCATCTTCAGGTAGTGTAGATTCAAGTTTCTTCAAATCATGACCCCCCGAGGGTAGGACGGGGCCAAAATGGCCGACCAAAGTTTTACATAGAAATATATGGGGAAATTCTTTGAAGAATATCAAATCCATGATTGATCATGGGATTACTTTTGGATTTTAACTTTTCAATAATAAACCAATTTCTACTTTTTCTAAGCTACAGTACTCAGGTGAGAGATGTGGCCCATGGGCCTCTTGTTTTGATAATACATTAAATACATAGAATATATAAATCGCCAATAATGAAGTCCGGTTCATTTTTACAAACAATATTTTATGATAAACAATAATATTTAAATATTTATATTCCCTGAGCCTTGCAATTCTTAGAGGGATAATTATAAATAAGTTGCAGCTGTTTAGTCCAAATCTTACTAGTCACTTTTTGGTGAAATGTATAGAGAAAGAACAATATATCAAGCTCAAAATGCTATTCAAAATGCTAAAATTAAAAAAATATATATATAGAATTCTTTGACCAGTCGGTGTTTAAGAAAGCCGACTGGGGATTTATTGTGTGGAAACTATAATAGATAACATACATTGACTTTATATGTTAAGTTTTGGGAAAATCTATCGTCAAGGCAATGTAAGTAGCCATCTTAAAATACAAGTACATTTAATATAAGATTATAATGGAAGGTTACAATTTTTCGCACTTAAACGCAAATTATGCAAATGCTCCCACATAATTTTTTGATCAAAATATAATGTATGATAAGTATAAGTATATTGTACATTTAATGAAAATTTTATGATGATTTTAAAACGAGATTGTCAATACCTTATCTCGTTCTAGAAATTGTTTGTACGTAGAGCAACCTCTTGCGTATCGAATAAAGTGAGAGCTATTAACTACACATGCAGTTGGAAAAAGCAAATTGTTCCACAAAATAGGGAAATTGACGATGGAAAAGTTAAAGTGATCATGTTAAGCTCTGTTGTCAGATCACCATTAACGTTTGTTTTTCTCTATAAGAATCGTCTTAATTATCATTCATACAGTGTATGTACGTGTACTATAAAATATCATTCGATTTTTTGTTGTAATAAATGGTTTCAAATACTAGTATATGCTTACTTGAAAGATTTTTTTAATTCAAAGTATTTTTACTACTATTATTCTATACATGTAGATAAAAAACAACATCTATTACGTCACCTTATATCATAGACACTTTCTTAATAATAGATGTTAAAGATGATCTTCCTGTATATACTGGATGTGGTTTTTCTTCGAACATTTCTAAGTCTTTCAGTATAACTTTTTAACCGCAAGACATGACTTGTATGTTTAACACCGGTTTACCGTTATATAAGTAAAAATAAGTTGTACGTGTAGTCCTTACAGAGTTGGGCCAATTTAAAAAATGTACAAATCGATCTCAAAATTCCTTATTCTTGTGTCGTTGATGACATTGCTGAAATCAGCTCCTGTCATACCTCCGAGGAAAATCTATCACCTGTAAGTTTATTGTAGTTTAACTTCAAACGTCTGTTGTTTTATTTTTTTCCGAATGCATAGAATTTTGATATTAATGCTTTATCGAGCTATACTAGCAATTTATATTATGATACTTTGTTGGCATTTTCGTTTTATATCTTAAATATTTTATTGAATTTTGTTTAGAAATTTTGCCAGTGAAGCTCAAATCAGATTTTTATTTTTCATTCTTTGAACTTTAAAATGTTTAAATATTTAATTTTATATGCATACATATCTGTGTGGCTTTTTGATTATCAGAGACAAGCTGATTCGAGTTCATCCCAAAACAATGGATCAAGTCCTTGCTCTGGAGAGACTTCAAGACAATCTTCCTGCTGAGGTCTGATTTTTCAGCCTTCAATTTCTTTTTCATCCCACAACTCAGTACACTTAATATATAGAGTCATTCTATACATTCCATAGCCATTTCCTGTCTTTAAAAATCTTTTACCACTGCTTGACTATTTTCAAATTCAGTATAATGTACGCTTCTAAAGATAAAATTCTGCATATTGTATCCTTGTCGTTCTCATTAAAATACACTGAAGCATATTGTAAGTTGTTGTTGTTGTTGTTTGTTTGGCTGGTTTTTTTTTTTGGGGGGGGGGTTGTTGTTGTTGTAGGGTTTTTTTCTGTCGTCTTTTTTTTTTTGTTTCTTCTTGGGGGGATGGTCGAAAATAATGTTTATAATGATTAAGCAATTGTTCTTCAACTTCAAAAAACATTTTTCTAACACTCTCTTTTTAAAGAAAATGCTAATACGAGTAATTTGGAGAATGAAAACGAAGTGCGATCTATAAAGTAAACTTTGCAATTCTTGTTTTTAAAGGTTGACTTTTGGAAGAGGCCTAATATCAATGCTGATGTAGATATTCATGTACCTATCAAAGTGTATGATGACGTCACTCAACGATTGTCACATGTTGACCTTAAGCCTACTTTATTAGTTCATGATATACAAAGGTAATAGGCATTGTAATATTTTTATCCGTAGTATGAATTATATACATGTGTATACCTTTTATTTAACAACTTTCTCGATTCAGGAAATTTAAAGCAATCTTATGTCTATTCAAAATTGTAAAAGAATCAAATTATATGTATCTTTTAAATTGTAAAGTACCTCTAATTTTTAGTGTTATGGACCAAGAGGAGGCTTCTATGGAGATCCCTGATTACGTCATTGATTCAACAGGTGCGATGGCATCTCCAGCACTCAAACTAAGGAATACGGATATTGTCGGAAAATTTGCACGACATGCCGAGGTCAAACACACATCTATTGCTCGGAATTTGTCAATTTCTTTCCTTAAAATTCAGTCATTTATAGATGTTGCATTATTTTATTTCTATAATTCTAATTACATGTCACTTAGATCAATCTATAATATGTTAATTGCAATTTAAACATATTTTTGTAATAATATACAGATGGACAGTTGGCTCGTAAGGATGGCATCAAAATACTCTGCAATTGAAAAATAGAGTCTATCGGCATAACATATGAAGGCAGAGATATGAAAGTTATCAAGGTACAATGCTTATATATAAAGGATATTACATGTATAACATAATGATCTTCATAAGAAATTTATTAATTAATTGATTGATTGATTGACTGATTGATTGATTGAATAGTTTAGTGTATCTTGTTTTACTCCCCCTATGAAGGAGTTTTATTTAGAGAGAGAGAGAGACATCAACCCGAAGGGTTTTAATTGAGATTTGCCATTGTTCCATGGCAAGGAGATAACACAGGATCTTTGACGTTGTGAAAACTTTGTGAAAATACTGAAAACTATGTTAGACGGTGTGACCGTTAGTGAGGGCAGAGCCATGAAGAGAAAATTGCTACCTTTTATTGTTTAATGACAAATCAGTTAAATTCTGAAATTGTATGTCATTGTCAGAGAATCATAACAAAGAAATCAGTTCTTAAAAAAAAACTTTTCATTCAAATACATGTAATAAATCTAAGAACTAACTGAGATATTTCATGAGACAAAGGGTTGTCTAGCCAGAGCACTAAACGTCGAAGAATGTAGTGGGGAAAGGGAGCGGCATGCACTGGACCAGTAAGGGATTCAACGTACCGAGGTCCAAGAAATGTGATACACCTCGGCCCAACGACACCTCAAATTTTAATGCATGTAACAGTAAACTTGTTCCCAAATATATCCTACAATAATCAACTCATAAACTTTTCTGAGCATCATTTCTTTGTCTTTCACTACTTTTAATTCATATGCTTATTTAACAACACTGATCTGGAAACCTCAAGTCATTTCTCAACTGTTATTACTCCCATTACATTATCATAGTTATGACGTCATCTAAAGTAAGAACAATATTGTCAAGACCAGATCAGAAGACGAACTCAGATGACCTAAAATACAGACAGATGGTCTACTTCCTGGATGAATCTCATCATCAGACCAAAGAACTATATGCGGTATATTGCATATGTTTGCCCCCACAAAAGTCAAATTTTGAAAACTTCCTGAAATGTGCTGAATTCAATAAATTGTACGAGAAATATAAGTTAACAGAAAATATTATAGTTCCAGAGCAGTGTATTCACAATTTCTGTTTTTATGTCGTCACAAACTAGTCCGATTTTATATCCTTTTTCAGAAAGAGGACAAAATGGACAAAATTTCAACAATTTAAGCTTTAAAATTTATAGAGCGCATGTGTGTTCAGGAACAATATTGACATATTTCATTGATATTATCATTCTACACATTATATCAAAAATATTGATCCTGAACACACATGCGCTCGGTGACTTTTATTTAAAATATCGACGAAATATGTATATTTTTCTGCAAAATTCATAAAAAAACTGAAATTTACGTCATATTTGTGACGTCATTACGTACATATGACGTCATTACTTATGAAATTATTCAGTGCTTTGAAGTCAGCATATACTCCCCTGTTTAAGGACTTAATTAAATATTACTCCATCAAAGTTTGATTTTGGGGGGCAAATGTTGGTTAATACCGCATATAGTTCTTTGACTGTGTTACTATCATGAAGGTTGAAAATATAACAGCATCACAACTTTTATGAGAAAAAAATTTGCAACAGATGCATGATTAGGGACATTTATTAGGTCCCTGTTGTGATAGTATCTTTTTTAAAGTTTCTTCTTATTCATTTCTTTTTATTTTACATTAATTGGATTAATTGGTAACCCATTAATTTAATTATAATGATTATTTTCTTTATTTTAACGAAAAATGTATATTTCACTTTTCAGGTTTTTTTTTTTTTTTTTTTTTTTTTTTTTTTTTTTTTTTTGGGCTAATGTTATTAAAACAAATCTGATTTAAATAGTCTTTCGAATTTTCTAAATCTAACATTAACACAATCGTTTTGAAAACAGTTATACTTTTTAATTATCTGAAGAAAAAAAACCTCGAAATTAAAAGTAATTTTTCTGGTATCTTTGTCGTTTAAGACTTGGTTAATCATATAATTTCAAAACCAAAACTTGTGAATAATAGGGTACACTTCTGAGAAGTTTGAATTGAATATTTAACTTTATTGATGTCAAACAAAAATTCTGAATATTTGCTTCATGTTTTTAAAGGTTTTAAGGCACATTTATTAGGATAGAAAACTATATTGATATGCTTGATGTGTATTACATTAACAGCATGCACTGCAACATTGAAGTCATATAACTTCGTGACTGTATATTTACATGCATTTACTGATACATGCAGACTGAACAACTACCTCTCCAGACTGTACATCATACATTGTCTAACTTAATTTTTCCTAATTTTAAACTTTACAGTATATATGTAATTCCAATTGTCTAAAAAAATCTTTTCTACATTTTTAAAATTCATATATATCAATTAAGATTATTGTTTTGATTATTATATTTAAGATACTGAAATTTTGTCATTTGAAAAACTTCATAAAATGAAATATTGAATTTTAAAAATCACAACAAAAATGAGACTCAGACTTCCATCTGCTAAATATTTATATATCTATGTACAAGTAGATATTCATAAACAATTTGGATACTTAAATTTTTTTTTGAAAAATATTCCACACATTTATTGAGTCCCTATTTTTAGACTTTTCACAGGGTATTAAATTTTAAATATAACTTTTAAAACACATTTAACTGTTCAAAAAAATTGTACAGTATGTCTAAAAAAAAATACTACATTTCTAGCTTGGTATGTATTGACAATAATCCTGAAGATATTCGTTATTATTAAATTTTATTAACAAATAAATAAGGATTATTTTCCTTCTACAGTCTAGTGAAAGGCGCCACATATAGATCCGCTCCTCAATAGTGCAGACGACAGCGCCGCCCGTAGGGAATTTCTAACCAATCAAATGCCGTTATACCTCTGAAGCGCGAACTATAAATAAATCTAAACGTCTAAATCGAAAGTTGGAAGATGGATTTGATTTTAAGTAAAAAACCATTACTACTAATTATCCTTGGATTAAATGGTTTTCACTTTGATGAAAGTCTCATCAACAACGAGAATTTGTGCGTGAATCAAAACGACGCCATTTTACAGGACGCCATATTGGCGACAAGAATCTCAGTTCCATAGGTATTGTAATTGACATATAGTTTACAATAGATTTCTTTTATTTTTCATATACATACGTGTTACCTATAGGGAGAGCTTCGCTCTCACGGTGATCTATGCTAAGGAAGATATATTATTAACAGTGGGACGGACAACTTCGGAATGGACATTTTTCCGAACTTGCGCACCCTTTTCCTTTAAAGCTAGCCTCTTGGAATTTTTTTTAAATGGTGGGGTTTTTCTACCTAAATGAATTTTTGAAAATAAAAAATGCAACATTTTCTGCTAGTTTTTCAGATATTTAGTGTCAAAAATAAAAACTCCATGGGAAACATGTACTTAAAATTACCCCATGAAAAACTCCCACAAAAACCCCATGGGGTTCAAAATTACCCCCATGGGGTTTTTATACCCATAAAAATCAATGTGGGGTTTTTAAACCCATATGTTGCTTATATTGTCATGTGGGTTTTTTTCTCCCACGTTTCTTTATGATGGGGTTTAAAATCCCACATATTGATATTTTTACTGAAGATAATTCTTAAAAACTTGGTTTTTGTTTTCTTAAACTAATGGATCATTAGTATCTTCTCTGTTTGTCGTTCTATAAAAGTGGATAGTTATTACAAATATCTATCATTTTTCAAATTTTCAAGTATTCATTCTTCAAATTCATGCTTATGTAAAAGAAGATTTATATGAAAACAGGTTTCTAAGGCAGCTGCCTCCTATAATGAAACATTTATCATAAAACTTTTCACAGATTATTTGATCAATGACAATTAATCTGAATATACATGTAGGTATATAGGGTAGTCTTTAAAAAGGGAAATGAAACATTAAAAATTTTTAATTCACAGTGTCCAAGGTTCTCTTCCTTTAACTGATGGGAAAATATGAATTTTTTATGATTATCGTGTCTAGTTTGTGGATTTTTTAATCTCCATTCCCCCTATCATTTACCATTTATGATTGGATTTAATTAATTCAGGCACAATAAAGCAAAATATTTCATTACATGTAGTTGAAATCATTCAGTTATATATCATAAAGGAAAACTATAGAAATCCTTTGATCCACCACAAATATTTTAAAATAAAATTTTACTCCTCTAGGCTCCACCACTTGTAAGTTTAGACCATGATCACACATGGCATATAAGCTAAATGTTTGAAATCAATTGGCCATACTCATTAATATCCTTTAATTTTGATCCACAACAAATATTTTAATAAAATAAAATTAATATCCACTCCCCATGGATCCACCACTAATAAGTTTAGATCTTGATCACACATGGACATATAAGCTTTATGTTGAAATCAATTAGCCTTAATCATTTATATCCTTTGATCCAAAACAAATATTTAATCAAAATAAAATTAATATCCACTCCCAATGGATCCACCACTTATGAGTTTAGATCTCGATCACACGTGACATATAACCTTAATGTTTGAAATCAATTAGCTATAATCATTAATATCCGTTTACCCACCACAAATATTTAAATTCAATATCCAACCCCTTGGATCAACTGCAACTACTATATATCCACTCCCCCTTGGACCTACCAATTTAAAATTAAGATAATGATCAAACATGACATGAGCCGTTCCAAGCAAAAACCCCCCCTTATGTAATCTGACAGAATTTTACGTCACAATAGAAAAAGCGACGTCATTATTTTGCAACAAAAACTGCAAAAATTTTATCGCGCACTGACTGAGTTCCAGGTGAATTCTTTGTTTTATGTGTCTCAGAATTTTCTCATTTGTGCTCTGTATATTTTTTTCATGACTACATGTGTATTGTCTATTTTATAACATAATTATCTGACTCCGATTGTTGTCAAACTACATGTGCATTACACATTTAACGACCTAAGTGTGTTCTGATTAAATACACAAAATCTGTCAACACTTCGACGTTTATTCTGTTCCATGTACAATATAAGTTTTCAGTTAAATTAAATAAAACATGCAACTGTTGTTTAAAATTCAGATTTACGAATCTTTCTTATTCAACAACGACAAAAAATTACATGCAATGATGATATTGAGTGTAAAAAATATTTTTAAAAAGGAAGGAAGAGTAGTTTGAAATGTTTTTTTTTTATCCGAAGTCTTGG